AACCGACGGTGTGCTCTGCAACGAGGCTATGCGTGGTATCCGGTTCAACATTGAGGATGTTGTTCTGCACGCCGATGCCATCCACAGAGGAGGTGGCCAAATCATGCCCACTGCTAAGCGCTGTTTCCTTGCCAGCCAACTGACGGCAGCTCCTATGATAATGGAACCTGTGTATATATGCGAAATTCAGACTCCTGAAGAGGCCCTCGGTGGCATATACAGCACCCTCAATAAGAAACGAGGCGTGATCTTCAGCGAGGAGAACACTCCAGGAACTCCAATTTACGTTGTAAAGGCTCATCTCCCTGTCAACGAGTCTTTCGGTAAGAACATCTTTTCCATAATAACTTTTCCTAGGCTTCACCGCTGAACTCCGCGCCAACACCGGTGGCAGAGCTTTCCCTCAATGCCAGTTTGACCATTGGCAACTCTACCCGGGTGACCCCTTAGACCCTAACAGCAAGTCAGGCCAACTTGTTACGGCTATCAGGAAACGCAAAGGAAAGCCAGAGGCAATACCACCACTTGACAACTTCGTCGATAAACTTTAAAGGCCATGTATTTTCCAGAAAAATATCACGCCGAAGGTTGACCACTTACTTTTTCGTTTACTGTCATGGTGGGCGTTAGATGTCGGGTTCTCAGTTAGCTATGCTATGCAACATGACATCCCGACTACTTTGAGTGTGTTTTGGTTCTACTAGACTGCACACCCGAAACTTACCTTCAGCAGCGTTGGTGCCAATTTTGAGGGTTTTTCCGGTTTACGGCGGCATCTCGGTCCGCCGAGGTTCATTTGCCTCTTACTTGCAGTGACTGGTCGTGCTATCTGTAACATGACGATTTTTCGGTTTCTCTGGCAATAATTAATCTCTTGTTGGTGTAACGTGTTTTTCCGCATCAGAAGAGGTTCAAGTTTTGCAATTAAACTTGTGTTAGCGAATGTTTGAATTAAGAGTAGTAAGGCAACTGACAGATCTTTACGCGTGGATGTGTCGGTGTCATTCGACAAGGTTCAAGAACCTCGGCGAATATACGGGGACCGTGAGAATTGGTTCCACGTTTCCCAGCTTTGCTCACAGTTGTCTACCTCGATACCGAATGTCGAGTGGTCCGCCTGTTCAGACAGTGAAATGTAAATGGGTGTTTGT